CCCCAGGGCACAGGAGTAGGGCGTAGGGAGTGGATATGGTGGCCCAGTGCCCCATACCTGTCAGACACCACCTGAACTAAGAGCTCAAATTCACAGTGTGCACATTAAAGCACCCTGCTTTCCTCTGATGATTGCATATCTTTGTGAAGCTGCCTTTTCAGCACTTGTGATAAAAAGCAAGTACCACATGAAAAATCAACGTGGAACCAGAACTGAAGGTTCTTGTGTCCCATCTGATTCTGAAAAGTTTTCCATCTCTAATAGGTGCATACATCCCACTACTAACTAATTACAATATTAAAGAATAAAATTAAAATATTTTTCTTTCAATGTATGTACTTTTCTTTTCAAATGGCTATTAAGTTGTTATGACATAAATACTTCTTAATTTCTTTTTGATCCAACTAAGTGCCCTGCGAACTAAAGTTCTGGGAATCTGTGCACTAGACTGCACTGTCTCAAATGTGGAGGCTAAAAAACACAGAGCATCTAAATGTTCAGAGGTTCGCAAAAGTCTCCAAGTGGCCAAAGCAATTCTGAGAAAGAACAAAGCCTGAAGCATCACACTTCCTGACTTCTTTCTTTTTTTTTCATTTATTTTTATTAGTTGGAGGCTAATTACTTTACAATATTGTAGTGGTTTTTGTCATACATTGACATGAATCAGCCATGGATTTACATGTATTCCCCATCCCGATCCCCCCTCCCACCTCCCTCTCCACCCGATCCCTCTGGGTCTTCCCAGTGCACCAGGCCCGAGCACTTGTCTCATGCATCCAACCTGGGCTGGTGATCTGTTTCACCCTAGATAATATACATGTTTCGATGCTGTTCTCTTGAAACATCCCACCCTCGCCTTCTCCCACAGAGTCCAAAAGTCTGTTCTATACATCTGTGTCTCTTTTTCTGTTTTGCATATAGGGTTATCGTTACCATCTTTCTAAATTCCATATATATGTGTTAGTATACTGTAATGGTCTTTATCTTTCTGGCTTACTTCGCTCTGTATAATGGGCTCCAGTTTCATCCATCTCATTAGAACTGATTCAAATGAATTCTTTTTAATGGCTGAGTAATATTCCATGGTGTATATGTACCACAGCTTCCTCATCCATTCGTCTGCTGATGGGCATCTAGGTTGCTTCCATGTCCTGGCTATTATAAACAGTGCTGCGATGAACATTGGGGTGCACGTGTCTCTTTCAGATCTGGTTTCCTCGGTGTGTATGCCCAGAAGTGGGATTGCTGGGTCATATGGCAGTTCTATTTCCAGCTTTTTAAGAAATCTCCACACTGTTTTCCATAGTGGCTGTACTAATTTGCATTCCCACCAACAGTGTAAGAGGGTTCCCTTTTCTCCACACCCTCTCCAGCATTTATTGCTTGTAGACTTTTGGATAGCAGCCATCCTGACTGGCGTGTAATGGTACCTCATTGTGGTTTTGATTTGCATTTCTCTGATAATGAGTGATGTTGAGCATCTTTTCATGTGTTTGTTAGCCATCTGTATGTCTTCCTTGGAGAAATGTCTGTTTAGTTCTTTGGCCCATTTTTTGATTGGGTCATTTATTTTTCTGGAATTGAGCTGCAGGAGTTGTTTGTATATTTTTGAGATTAATCCTTTGTCTGTTGCTTCATTTGCTATTATTTTCTCCCAATCTGAGGGCTGTCTTTTTACCTTGCATATAGTTTGGACTCTGTGGGAGAAGGCGAGGGTGGGATGTTTCAAGAGAACAGCATCGAAATATGTATATTATCTAGGGTGAAACAGATCACCAGCCCAGGTTGGATGCATGAGACAAGTGCCCCGGCCTGGTGCACTGGGAAGACCCAGAGGGATCGGGTAGAGGGAGGTGGGAAAGGGGATCGGGATGCAGAATACATGTAAATCCATGGCTGATTCATGTCAATGTATGACAAAAACCACTACAATGTTGTAAAGTAATTAGCCTCCAACTAATAAAAATAAATGGGAAAAAAGTGGATTAAAGACCTAAATATAAGGCCACAGTTTTTACCCATATGTTAAAAACTCCAAAAAGAAACCATAAGGAAAAAGCTCCTTGACACTGGCCTTGGCAATGTTTTTTTAGATGCAACACCAAAAGCACAAACAAGAAAAGCAAAAATCAAAGGTGACTACATCAAGTTAAAAAGCTTCCACACAGCAAAAGAAACAATAAACAAAATAAAAAGCAACCTATTGAATGGGAGAAAATATTTGCAGACCATATGGTGGCTCAGATGGGAAGGAATCTGCCTGCAATGCAGGAGACCTGGGTTCAGTCCCTGGGTTGGGGAGATCCCCGGAAGAAGGGAATGGCAGCCCACTCCAGTATTCTTGCTGGAAAAATCCCATGGACAGAGGAGCCTGGTGGGCTATATACAGTCCATAGGGTTGGAAAGAGTCAAACACCACTGAGCACAGCACAACAACGTATAGTGGGAATGGGGCTTATATCCAAAATCTGTAAAGAACTCATACAACCTCAGTAACAATAACATCAACAGTAAAAACAAGTAATGCGATTTTTAAAATGAGCTGGCAGTGCAGATAGAGAAGGAAAAATTTACTGAAGACATATTCAGTAGTCCTCTGAGAACTATAAACACACCACACCTCCCAGTCAGTAATATCACTGATCTTTTAAAAGAGCCAACATGAAAATAAAATAAAATAAAAGAGCCAACATGATTAAAAAAAATAAAATAAAATGAGCTGAAGAATTGGATAGACATTTTTCCAAAGAAAATATTCAAATAGCCAACACGTACATGAAAAGGTGCTCAATATCACTAGTCACAGAGTCAAAACCAAAAAATGGAGATCACTGCCTGTTAAAATGCCAATATCAAGAAAAGAGGAGGAAAAAATAAGCGAATGTTGGGGAGAATGTGGAGAAAAAGGAACCCTAATAGACTGTTGGTGGAAATGTAAATTGGTTCACCCAATATGGGAAACAGTACAGAAATTACTCAAATTAAAAATATAACAACCGTAGGATCCAGCAATCCTTCTTTGGTATCTAGCCAAAGGAAATGAAAATAGACTATCAAGAGAACAGCATCGAAACATGTATATCTAGGGTGAAACAGATCACCAGCCCAGGTTGGATGCATGAGACAAGTGCTCAGGCCTGGTGCACTGGGAAGACCCAGAGGGATCGGGTGGAGAGGGAGGTGGGAGGGGGAACCGGGATGGGAAATACATGTAAATCCATGGCTAATTCATTCCAATGTATGACAAAAACCACTGCAATGTTGTAAAGTAATTAGCCTCCAACTAATAAAAATAAATGGGAAAAAAAAAAGAAAATAGAATATCAAAAAAATATCTACATTCCCTTGTTCATTGCAGCATTATTCAAAATAACCAAGATATGGAAACAACCTAAGTGCCCATCAACAAATAAGCAGACAAAGAAAATGTGGTATGTGTACACTGGAATATTATTCAGCTGTCAGAAAGAAAGAAATCCTGCCACAATATTGTAATTAGCCTCCAATTAAAATAAATAAATTTTAAAAAGAAAGAAAGTATATGATAGTTACCAGGAGCTGAGGGATTAGGGAGATGTGGAAAAGGATAAACTTGAAACTGGAAGACTAATGAGTTCTGGAGATCTAATGTACAGCATAGTGATTACAGTCCACAAAAGAGTATCATATGTTTCAGAATTGCTAAGAGCCTGGTTTTCAAATATTCTCACCACAATAAAAAGAAGTGACAGTTGTATGATATGATAAAGATATCAGCTAAAGCTGCAGTGATACTCATAAAGAGATATATATAAATGTATCGACTCAACACTAATTCATACAATCTGTATGTTAATTATATCTCAATTTTAAAATGTGATTTATCCATAAAATGGGATATTATTCAGAAGGAAAATTCTGTCACATGCTATGACATGGATGAAACTTGAAGACATTATGTTAAGTGAAATTAACCAGACACAAAAGAACAAATATTGTACCATTCCACATATATGTGGTACCTAGAGTGATGAAGTTCGCAGAGACATAGGATGGTTGTTGCCCAGAGTTACCATTCACTGGTTGTTGGCCAGTTGTTGGGGAGTTAGTGTTTTAAGGGCACAGAGTTTCAGTTTGAGAAGATGAAAAAGTTCTGGAGGTAAGATGGTGACAGTGGTTTCACAACAATGCGAATGAGCTTAATGCCACTGAAATGCACACTTTAAAAAGAAAACAGGTAAAAATGGTAAGTTTTATGTATATGTTGCCATGATAAAAAATAATCCTCAGAAGGAAGGAAGGAGGGAGGGAGGGATGGTTCATTCATTTATTCACCCATACTTAGAGAACACCTACTACTTGCCGAGTGCTGAGCTAGGCACAGGGGTTACAGCAGTGAACAGACAAAATGCCTCCCTAATGGGGCTCAAATCTTGATGGGAAGACAAACAATAACCAGAATACCAAACAATAAGTGTGTGTTCTATAAGATTTGCTAACAGTGCTAAGAAGGGCACACAGCAGGCCAAGAGCATAGAAGAGGTGGTGGGGCAGGAAGGAGGTGACAGGAAAGGCCTCACTAAGGTGACAATTTGATACAGACTTAAAAGAGGTAAGAGAACTATCAGCCACTTAACTTTGCTGGCTATCTCTCGCTTGTTTTTTGGCCATACTGTGCAGTATGTGGGATCTTAATTCCCTAACCAGGGATCGAACCTGTGCCCCCTGCATCGCAAGCATGGAGTCTTAACCACAGGACCACCAGGGAAGTCCCCGTCAGTTGTCTCTTAACAAAAAGAATAAACTAATTCAGAAATAAAGCCCTGAAATTACATTATACAACAAATTACCAAATGTTAAACCACAGTATATGTCAACATAGAATATTCACAATGGAGAAACCCTATGACTCTAATGAATATTGGAAAAACCTCTAGAAATCGGTTGTCAGAGTTATTTGAAAAATATACACAGCAGACCCAACCCCCACCCCATCACCCCAAAGTCTTATACATTAATGAATTTGGAACTTTCTCTCTAGGAATGGAGAACTCAAGAAACATCAGAAAACTCATACCAATGAGAAAACCTATAAATGTAATCAATGTGGAAAGTCCTTCTACCAGAAGTCTATCCTCATAATACATGAGCATACTCATTCAAAGGACAAACCCAGTGAATGTGAGAAATCCGTCTCTCAGAACGGACACCTCACAAGGCAACCAAAAACTCCTACCAGAGAGAAGACCTATGAATGTAAAGAATGTAAGAAAACTTTCTACCATCTGTCATCTCTCAGTAGACATTTGAGAACTCATGCAGGAGAGAAACCGTATGAATGTAATCAGTGTGAGAAATCCTTCTACCAGAAACCACACCTCATGGAACATCAGAAAACACACACAGGAGAAAAACCCTTTGAATGTACTGAATGTGGGAAGTTCTTCTATGTTAAGGCATACCTCATGGTACATCAGAAAACACACACAGGGGAGAAACCATATGAATGTAAGGAATGTAGGAAGTCCTTTTCCCAGAAATCACACCTCACAGTACATCAGAGAACACATACAGGGGAGAAACCCTATAAATGTAAGGAATGTGGGAAATTCTTCTCTAGAAATTCACACCTCAAAACTCATCAGCGAACTCACACAGGAGAGAAACCCTATGAATGTAAGGAATGTGGTAAATGCTTCTACCAGAAGTCAGCCTTAACAGTACATCAGCGAACTCATACAGGGGAGAAACCCTTTGAATGTAATAAATGTGGAAAAACCTTTTACTATAAATCAGACCTCACTAAACATCAGAGAAAACACACAGGGGAGAAGCCCTATGAATGTAATGAATGTGGTAAATCTTTCTCTGTGAATTCAGTCCTCAGATTACATCAAAGGACTCACACAGGAGAGAAACCCTATGAATGCAAGGAGTGTGGGAAATCCTTCTCTCAGAAGTCACATTTTGTCATACATCAGAGAAAACACACAGGAGAGAAACCCTATGAATGTAAGGAGTGTAAGGAAACATTTTTTCAGAAATCAAAACTCACTGCACATCAGAAGACACACACAGAAGGGAAAATCTTATAAACAATATCAATTGGAGAATTCTGTCTGAATTTGTCCTTCAGAATAATCAGATAACTCACACAAGACAAAAAACCTTATGAAATATCATCAATATAGGAAAACTTCAGCCACATTCTTTCATCATGGAGAGAAATTCTATAAATCTCTTAGGGAGAAATTTTTACCATATGTCAGACTTTTACTGAATTTCAGACAACATACATGGTAGAAACACTACAAATGGTAAAACATGAGGGAAACCTCTCTTTCAGAAGTCATACTTTATTGTACAACACATAAACCATACAAGAGAAATCTATAAGAAAAATGAATATCAGGAAATTTCTGTCAGGGTAGCCATCATAAATGAGAGATTTCTATCAGTATCCTGAGCATTCAGAAATCTTTTTATACCTGTTGAACTAATTAGCACATTCTAAAAGGAGATAATCACAAAGATTACAACATATATGGAAGGCTTTATCAAGAAGTGATGTTTCAGTGAATGTCAGATCAGTGATATAAAGTATAGAACCGTTTTAAAAAATATTTTAAGTATGTGAAACCTTTTAAACAAATTCTAAGAGAATATGTATGAGGAAAATACTTATACTAGAGGTCATGTTGCAGAAATCTGATTACAAGGTTGTTTTTCTTTTAAAGAAACCTGCAAATGTCGGGTATATGAAGTTTTGTAAAAAGCACAAATAAATTGAAAAATGTAACATCATTAACACATGTGAAAAGTCCTTTAGTATGTAGGACTTATGTGTGAATGTTAGTGTGCTACAGAACACAGATTGTGGATGTTTGATGTGCATGTGAACCCATCCATAATTGTACATAGTGAAATATGTAGCCTTATTTAGTTCAGTAACTTTTATGTATATGAAGATATCTCTCATTTAGTCTCAGCAGGGGCTCCTGTTGTTAACAGAATGTGTATTTAAGTGTAGTATTCTTTCAAAATTATAATGTATCCCCCCCCCATTTCTGAATGGATATGGATTTTACTGAACTAATCCTTCAGAAAGAATATAAAAATGTTTCTGTAAAATTTGCAACTCTATTATGGTTGGCCAAATTTTACATTAGGGATACATTTATAGGAAAAAGGCTTCCCCAGTGGCTCAGTGTAAAGAATCTTCCTGCCAGTGGTGGAGATATGGGTTCAGTCTCTGGGTTANGGAGGAGAAGGGAACCGAGAGAGGATGAGATGACTGGATGGTATCATGGACTCGATGGACATGAGTTTGAGTGGACTCCGGGAGTTGGTGATGGACAAGGAGGCCTGGCGTGCTGCAATTCATGGGGTCGCAAAGAGTCGGACATGACTGAGCAACTGAACTGAGCTGAACTGAAAGAAATACCTATTGTGCTAGTATTGTTTTAGTAGGTTGCAGAGCTGTCTGAATTTATGTTTTGTATGAGAGTCCTAAATGTTCTTCACTACCCTTTTTCTTCCTAGTAGAAGCAACATGACATAGATGTTAAGAGCATGGCCTCTGGACTTCTACTGCCCAGGCGCAGTTTCTAGCATGAGGCATGCACTTAACCTCTCTGTGCCTTAGTTTTATTTTCTGTAAAAAGAAGTGATAATAATAATATGTTAGGATTGCTTTGAAGTTTAAGTAAATTATTATTTTTAAAGCACTTAGAATAGTGTCTGGAACACAGGAAGAGCTATATGTTAGATACTACCATCATTATAGTTTATATTTCTTGAATTATGCTGCAAAATAAATAAATAAAAGGTTGGCTAAGAGCATTCACTCCTCACTTTACTGCTGCATTGCCTTGCTTTGGTTTGGTTTTACATTTTTCCACAAGTGGAAAATTCAGATCTGGCCCACTGCCTGCAATGTTTTACATTTCTAAATGGTTGAAAAAAAATTTTTTTAATATATTGTGACATGAAAATTATATTATATTCAAACTTGTGTCTATAAATTCAAGTTTTATTAGAACAATAATAAAGAAAAACATTCATTTGTTTTGCCTGTGGCTGCCTTCACATTACAGTAGCAGAGTTGAGTGGTCTGAAGACCTTAGGCCTCACAGAGCCTGATATAGTTACTGTCTGGTTCTTTACAAGCTTAGTTTTTTTAGAGCTGAAAACATCACAGCCAATATAGAGGCATACATTTATATATGGTATATATTTCAGAAATGATGCATGTATCAATTTGTGGGTAGGTGGAGGTTTTTTGTAGTATCTTTATGTGCATTATATTTATATGTTACAAGACTAAGCATTAGTTAAAGATAAATATTTTAGCTGCTGGACTGTCATAACATGAAAACAAATACCTGATGGAATGTAGCGGTAAATTATGAAATAAACATTGTCTAAATTCAATTGTTAATTGATCCCTAAAAAAAGAAAGAAAGAAATCACGTTCTGATGATTTGAGATGCTAAATAACACTATCTAAAATTTCATGCATGCATGCTCAGTCACTTCAGTTGTGTCCGACTCTTTGTGATCCCATGGACTGTGGCCTGCCAGGCTCCTCTGTCAATGGGATTTTCCTGGCAAGAATACTGGAGTGGATTGCCATGCCCTCCTCCAGGGGATCTTCTGGACCCAGAGATCAGCTGTTTTAAATGGGATCTCCACTGTTTAAATGGGATCTCCACCTGCACACATAATAACAACGTAACAATATTTTGCTCTTGTATGTAGATGTTGTATGAATTTAGGAGTGGAGGGCCCTGAGAGAATGTTTTTTCTTGAACTGTGGGTAACAAGTAGAAGTCAATACTGAAAATGCTAATAGCAATTAGAACCTTCAGTCATTCAAGAGGTGGGTTGTTTTCATTCTGGCACTCTTTAAAAAACCTTGTAAATGGAACTATCAGAAGGAAAAACATTTAAATTACCACCACTGGATTTCTTCATGGGACAGGTGCAAGCTTCATGGAGCTGTGGGATTCCCCTGGACCTTGCACAAGAGAAAATTGCAGTCTTATTGACTCTAAGCCCCTGATGTCCTGTGTTCCTCAGCTTTCTTCCCTCTGGCTTCTGTGTCCTTAAGGCACCCCTCACCCACAGAGGCAGGGCCCTGAAGCATCTGGAGCCGTGCAGCCCTTCGCTTTCCTCCTGGCCTTGCTCACCTCTAGACGGTTAACAAGCTTCAGCTTCTCTCTCTGCCACCTCCTCCCCTTCCCAGAAATTTTGGAGTTAATCCTCCTATAAATCATCTCTTGTTAAAACCATTTTACAGAGCAGGATCTGTTGTGGTTTCCAGACCTGACTGCATACCTGGGTCCCACCAGGAGCTCGATAAGAACAGAAGTCTGTATTTAGTACATATGAGAAGAGACCCACGAGTTTGTCTAAGTGCCTCGGATGATTCTGTTAGAAAACACTTCATGAGAATCTTGAAGGGTGAATAGAAGTTTACCAGATTGACAAAGGGAAAAGAATTCTTTTCACTTGGATATAAAATGCCATGTGTACAGATACGGGTGAAGATGTGTGCATAGCAAGTTAAAGAAAATGCAGGTTTTCAAACTACAAAAAAAGTGTTCAGGTGGTAAGGAGGCTCTTTTGTAGACATCAGAGTTCTTAATATGATTTCTTTTAATAAAGGTTTCACTGCCAGGCTCCCCTCCAGCTCTGCTGTTTCAGGCTTCCAGTGGTGGGTTCCTAGCCCTGTCCTCATAGGCCCAGAGCCAGGGTCTGGGTTGCTTCAAGCTTTCTTTGACTCTGCCACGACTGCCTCTCGCTTGTCCTTTGCTCTGGCACTGATGGTCATCGTAAGAAAGAGAAACCGCATGGGTGGGACTTGGAACTTGGCTGTTTGTAAAATAGCTCAGGCAGGAACAGCGCACCCCAAGGTGCTCTGCAGTTGGCAGAGAGTTTGAATGGCTTTAGGGTTTAGAGTTTGAATGGGAACCCCAGAGACAGTTTTCATCAAGTTATTCCCAAGCATCTCCCCCATACTCTGAAGTACAAGATCTTGTCCTCCTTTGCCAGAACAGACAGACAGATGCCCTAGCAACAATTTTCTTATAGTAGAATTCTGGATTTAGTATTATCAATTTGATGTAACGGAGCTCTGTGAAGATCTTGGGGCTTGAGATAGAACACCTGGCTTCCCGTTCTGTTTTATAAGCTACTTACTTGTTTAACTTAAGCCAAATCACTTGGCCAAACGAAACGTTCTTTCCTGTCTCAGTTCCCCTTTCTATAAAATTGGTATTTTAGCATGCTTTATATACTTTTTGTGGCCTGGAATAATGGAGGAGATCTCACGTGAATGGAGTTTTGATGAAAGGGGTGTATGTTACAAATGAGGGGCTATTTCTTAAGAATGACAGGGAACAGAACCTTGTATAATTCAACCTTGTAAGGCAGATTGCTTTTTCTGAGACACAAAGAAGAATCAATTTACCAGTAGGTACCTTTCAGGAAATGTTAACTTTCACTGATAGTGTTTCCATGTAGACAGTCTGCCATTCATCATCGGATCTGGCCCCAGCTTTCTTCACCACTGACCCCGCAGCTGGAGTCAGTCATGCCTTTCCTTGGGTTCCTATTGAAGTTAGCACTTCCTCCCTGAAAACCTTTATCACACTCCTCAAGGGCAGAAACCTTCTTTGTATCTGTCCCCAGGACTAATACAGGTCTTCACACATAGTAAGCCCTTAACAAATGTTGGCTATTAAATGAATGAGCTTGGACACTGCCCAGCATTGGATTAGATGTACTTCAAGCCAAAGATTAGCACAATATACATTACTGAGTTGGAATGGATCTTAAGGGTTCATCTTACCAACTTCCTGCACTTAGCCAGAGCCAACTTTCCAGCACCTAACAAATTAAGGTCCTTTATTTTTAGTTCCTTCCTGAGAAGGACGTTGAGTGATTTCGCTGGCTAAATAGTGATTTAGCTTCCTTTGCACAGCAAAGTCCATTTCCTCTTTAGCTCAGGAATGAAAGGGGTAGAACATGCCCAAATTTTATGTATAGGAGGGATTTTTTTTAATATATAATTGAAAATTTTTCTTATATCAGAGTCTGATCTAGTTTACATTGGAAGCAGGGACCATCCTCTCAACAGAAGAGCTAAGAAGCTGTCAACTTGAATTTTAGAATTACTTCCGATGGCAGCTGGTATCATGGGAATCTGCTTCAGCATGCAGAGCAGAGATGCTACGGCTTGGAACACCGCCATCCTTTTGCCAAAGATAGACTAGTATGCAGAAGATCTTGCATTTGTCATGTCTGAATATTAATTTTCTACTCTCTGAAGTGTTTAGTCCCCTGTGATGAATTTAATTCAGTGAATTTAATTTACTAGAATTGCTTTTTTTGGATAATGAACATTTGTATTTCTCTTCTTTATACAAATACAGGGCATCTTCAGGCACAAGAAAAGTGATAGTATTAAACACAAAGAAGAAAGTTTTATTGTCCAGTAAAAATCTCTCAGCCACTCCAGGGCTGTTTTGAGCTGATAGCAATATGGCTCTAAAATTCTTTGAACTTGGAAATAAAAAAGCAACTATCCTTTTTGCTATTTGTTTTACTTTTTAAAACAAATTCTAATTTTGAGTTGAGAGATCAAAGAAAACTATAAAACCATAAAAACATATAGCATTATGTCACTTAATGATGGAGCCATCACTTCATGACTCATCTCAAGATGTTTTCTCTACTTCCTTCAAATATGATTATTTCTGGGC